AATATATTTTAAAGGAAATAAAAATATGCAGTGATGGTCTGCTCTGTGACAGGGACTACAGTCAGTATACAGGGAGACAAGCTAAACAAAGTAGTTAAAATTTGTTTCCAAACCTTTAATAGTTTGCTATGAATGTGCTCTCTAGGAAACCTGTGACCAACCAAAGATGCCATGGTTTTCCCACCGTTACCAGAACGAGTTAGTGACAGAAAATGAGGGTGACTACACGCAATTCAAGTCTCCAATCAGGTCGGTGTGCTTTCTACCGGCCATTACATGAACTCTCGAACATGTGCGTAACATTGGAGACTGGCTCTGAACATTTGTTTGTAGCAAATTATTCTTCAGAGGTCCAGTCAAGCACCATGTTCTCCAGTAAATAATTAGAAATTAACTACTTATCAGTGCGACATCACAAATGAAATTATAATTACAATGGCAGAGAAGCAGGGGGACAGAGTTAAAGGGGCACCTCAGCCATTCTCTTTTTTACAGACTAACGCTGTAATTAACCCAGGTTGACAATCTCCCGTGTTAATTTCAAAGTTAAAGGCCACAGTACAGTTCTATAACACAGCTTTCTCTAAACTATAACCTTGGCTGTAATTAACATGAGGTAGCATAAAGCAATAATACTCGCTCTGCACCACAATTTTTCACATACTTCAGATAGGCTAATCAAACTGCATTAATGAAGGTAACATGTTCAAATGCATGAGAATGCTGCTACTTTGAAATACCAAAGCTGGTGAAGATTAACAATAATAATTTTATGGTCTTCACCGAGGCCAGTGGTCGGCAAACTCATTAGTCAACAGAGCCAACTATCAGCAGTACAACGATTGAAATTTCTTTGGAGAACCACATTTTTTTAAACTTAAACTTCTCTCTAACCACGGACCTAGGCACAAGAAATAGGTGAAACTAATATATGCCATAAGTGCGTAAAGCTCTGTGAAACTTTTGAAAGGATTTGAGGGAAAAGAAAAATACTGAAATGGAAGCAAAATTCAAGGCAACCTGCTCTGCACCAGTAACTCTGAAAGCCATTCTGTCCTTCTCAAGGGTTATAATCCTGTGAAAAAACATAACCCATGGGGAGTGGGCCGCACAAATTATATATTTCCAATGCCTCCCCTCTCTTGAGGGTACAGTAATGCACTCGGTGGATTTTCTTGAAAGTCTTTCTGTAAGTATCTTCGCTGAGCTTTACGTTATGGAAAAATACCTGCATAATAAACACAGGCAAGTTTCTTCCTTTCGCAGAGAAGAGCACTTCTTCAAAACTGCCCATTCTTAAAAACCAACTCTGCAAACTTTGCAATACACATGCAAAACCATAAAGCACTTCCTCCCTCTGCCCCACACCTGTTTGGGGTATTTAAATGCCATTTCAACCAACACAGCCATTACTCATCAAAAAAGCAACCTGTGCCCCAGCTGCGTGGCTCCGCTGGTTGGAGCATCGTCTCTTACACCAAAAAGGCTGCAGGTTCGATTCCTGGTCAGGGCACGTACCTAGATTGGGGGCACATGCAGGAAAACAATGGATAGATATTTCTCTCTCCTCTCTCTCTCTCTCTCAAATCAATAAGCATATCATCAGGTGAGGATAAAATAGAAAAGCACTTGTGCTGAGCGACATGTGGAATATTCTAATATGGAAAGACTAGGAAAACGCTTATTGGAGCCTCTGAGTCCTAAAACACTGGGCAAGCTATTGACGAATTAGCCACTACACCAGCGGTCGGCAAACTCATCAGTCCACAGAGCCAAACATCAACAGGAGAATGATTGACATTTCTTTGGAGAGCCACGTTTTTTAAACTTAAACTTCTTCTAACGCCACTTCTTCAAAACAGAGTCGCCCAGGCCGTGGTATTTTGTGGAAGAGCCACACTCAAGGGGCCAAAGAGCCGCACGAGCCTCGGTTTGCCGACCACGGCCCTACACTCCTCTCAGGCACTGCGGCTTGTCCCCACCCTATTCTACAGGCCAGGTGGAGGGCTGCTACGAAGAGAATTTTGGTTGCACATTGGCCATCTTTTCCCAATACACAGGTAAGATCCTCCCAAACTCCGTCCCGGGACCTCTCTGGTTATAAAATGGGAAAAGAGTTCACCTACACACAAAACACAACTGGTACACGGCCCGTTAAATGCCAAAAATCAGCCTGACCTTTACCACCAATGAAAGCGAGAGGTGCCTTGTAGGTCTGGCATGCTCCGAAGAGCAATGGACAAGCCGCAGTATCTGGGTCCCTTTACCCAACCTGCCCCGCCAGAGCCGTGCCGGTCCCTGAACTATGGATGCCTGTACGTCCTTCGCCATAAAAACAAAGTCACATAGCATCGGATGAACTCCGAAGAGCTCTACAGAGCTAACATTTATTATTCTTCAAGGTTAAGTGCGCTAGCTACTTCATTTGTAACTGACATCTCAGCGAACAATATTGTGACTATACAGTTCCTGCCCTCAAAAGTCCAATATAGTTGGGAATATAAGACATCCCAACACCGACTCCACACGGACAAAACCTGAGCTAAACTCCAATCCTAATGAAGACCATCTTCCTCGCTCTCCCATTCACAGCCTTTTTTTTTTTTTAATATATTTTATTGATTTTTTACATAGAGGAAGAGAGAGGGATAGAGAGTTAGAAACATCACATCGATGAGAGAGACATCGATCAGCTGCCTCTTGCACACACCCTACTGGGGATGTGCCCACAACCAAGGCACATGCCCTTGACTGGAATCGAACTCGGGACCTTTCAGTCCACAGGCAGATGCTCAATCCACTGAGCCAAACCGGTTTCAGCAAACACAGGATTTCTTAACACAGAGGCCAGAAATTCTCACTTGGAAGTCTTCTAGTGATCTGGTCTAGTCATTTTTTTTACTTTTCCCTTTGAATACTAGGAATATATACCTATTTGGGTGTGTAAAATATGTACAGTTGGCATTAAGTTGGCACTATTGAAAAGAAAAAGAACCGAAAAAGCAAACCCATGGCTCAAGAAGCATATGTCCATTTCTCTACCAACTACTATGTGAAGATTACTCAGCAAATGACGTATGTGAACATCTAGCACACTGGTGCTACAATAAAATACGTACACATTGTAGGCAGTTAATTCAGCATTTGAAACAACTGAAATGAAAAAGGATGTGATGGGTCAGCCAATCTACATTAACTTGATTTCTGGGAAAAAGGTTATACTACGTTATGGAAAGTTAGCATTGTCGCTGGAACTCTTAACAGGCATAAAAAAGTTAGGAACAATACTAAAAGAAAGTGTATCAGAATGAGGGGAGTTGAAATGAGATGGATTTTTATACACCAGAACAAGTGTTTTCTCGTGTTAAAATCACTTTTAAAAAACGTAGCAGGGTCGGTCATGAAGATTAAATGCATATATACATACATGTCGGTCACATGTAACGGTGCCTGGCACATGGTAAGGGCTCACCAGGCAGTGACTAGCATGAACGCAGCACTGAATCTAGCTCTATATCCATGGAAGACCATGATAAAATATGTTAAATTAACATCGGATGGTTCAGGACTATCTTTGCAGGAGACTACTGAACACTGCATGCGTCCTGGCCAGTTTAGCTCAGTGGATAGAGCACTGGCCTGCAGACTGAAGGGTCCGGGGTTCGATTCTGATCAAGGGCACATGCCCGGGTTGCGGGCTTGATCCCCAGCAGGGGGCATGCAGGAGGCAACCGATCAATGATTCTCTCTCATCAATAGTGTTTCCATCGCTCTCTCCCTCTCCCTTCCTCTCTGAAATCAATAAAACTAACATTAAAAAAACAAAGTAACAGAACAGGGCATGCTGTAGGAAACCAGGATTTAGAATACTGATGTGAACACTCTGAAACCTGAACTTAAAAACAGAACAATTTTAAAGATCTACGTATTCAACGAATCTGTAAATATTAATTATGTGCATTTTTTAAATTAAGAAAAATAAAAATGCAAGTCAAATTATTATACAAGACTGATTTGGTCAAAACAAAATGAAATGGCTTCTAACACAGAAAAACACCTGAAACCTATATGTTCATGTTGACACCAATCAATTTAATAACATATATATATTTTTTCAATGGAATAGCTTCTTTTTCTGTCTTGCAAGTTGTTATTCACTTCTAAATGGTTTCAAGTGAAATATTTTTTTAATGTTGAAACTTAATCACACTCTAAAAACAAGATCCTATCAAATCATGATAAAAATCCAATTAACATCTAGTTAACAATGATTGCCTTAGCTTACCAAGGGTGAACTCTTGACCTTAAAAGGTACAACAGCAGCAACAAAAAGAGTAGCTATCCTTTCACAGAGATATGCAAAGTTTAAGTAAACTCTACACTTCCACAAAACCAATTTGTAAAACGGGTTCCTCTTTTTAAAGAAACCCAAATAGTTGGAAATTTCCATTGAATTTCTGTAAGAAAGAAAACCTCTCACATTTAAATCAAAAGCTAGAGTTTAAAAAAAACACCTTAGATCCTCACTTTGCACAAGACTCTGTGCTAACAAGCACAGTTGTCCCGTGATATGTTTAAGCAAAACGTGTTTAGATTCGCAGTGACCTGAAAACAAATTTTCTTTCTAATGGATGTGATCTTCTGAATAAAATGTAAAAAAAAAAGGTTCTCAATCAACCAGCCCCATCATACATTTCACATTCTAATATTTGTTGAAAGAATGAAATCTTATTTAAAATACTTTACAGCCACAAACTTACATGAACAACAAAATGCCCTTAAGTACTCGGACAAACACAACTTAGTCAATATCAAATTAAAACTGAATTTTTAAGTTGGAAAATAATTCACTAATCACCGAAAGGCTGTGTCTGGGACAAAATGATAGTTTCACAAATTATTCTGCAGTTACTTTTTTTTTTTTTTTTTTACACTGGAAGCAAACACGCTAGCACAAACACACAGTACAAATATACAGCTGAATCAAAAAAAAAATCTACCTTCATCTAATTCCAATTCCATGTCATTCATGTGATATATGCTCTCCTCTCACTTTAAAAAGCTCAAGCCAATTCAAGAGAGTGGGGTCAACCTGGTGAGAAAAGCAAAAAAAAAAAAAAAAAAAAGAAAGAAAAAGAAAAAAGCAGATCTTCAGTGCCATCTTGTTGGTTAAACTTTCAAAGTCAAGATTCCGTATATTGTCAAAAGAAAATCACCGGGCGAAGGCAAGTATACGGTCATGAATACATGAAAGTTTATTCTTGTATTAAGTGTTTATTCATGATTGTGTTATTTCCACATGGACACCCGCATATATGCAAAGAAGTGTGCACTCCATCGCATACCTCAGAAAACTAGTCATTTATTCATAAGCATTTTAATAAACACGCTCATGTTTCAGACAACCACGTCGTGAATAGATGTATGTGTATTCAACAACCACCTCTCGGAATAGTCATATTCATGTATACCTATTTGTGCAATGACACTCGAGTTCAGAAGACAAAGTTTCCTAAGCCATTTTTACTGGACTCTTCCACCTTTGTTTTTTCGTTCCGTTATTTCCACCCAAAATGAAACCCGGTGGTTGACTAATGACTTCAGTGTACTAAAAGCTGTACAGGACCACGCTTTCCCAAATAAAAATCAACTTTCATCTACCACCCCTTGATGGATGGATGGTTTGAGGCAACTGGCAATGCAATAAAATAATAATGAAAAAAATTTTTTAATGCAAAAAAATAAATAATTATCCTTCTTTCATCTCCTTTAGCTTCAGGATGAGCCTAGCAGGTGTGACCACCTTATCCACGCTTAGCCATGAGCCAGCAGACACATCCCATCCAACCACCCAACTTTCTATCCTGGAGCCTCCTGAGCTGCAGACGCCTGGGCGCTCTCAGCCAATCAGCGCCCCGGTGGAGGGAGTCGGTGTTATTTTCACAACACGATTCCGACGGGAGGCCGCGGAGCAGCATCCTTCCTCCCCTCGACCTGCAGGCAGGTAGGCAGGTAGCAGGCACTGCCTCTTGCTTCCAGAAGGATGAACCCCAAATGTCTCTACTGGAAACCTGACTCTGGAGAGAGAGGGGCAATCTGGCCTTCACCTGCAGATTCCCCGGGAAACCCCAGACGCGGGGTGACCCCGCCAACAAGGAGCCGGGGTGAACCCCGCCCGCCAGAAGCGAGCTCTCCAGACTTGGGGGGCTCCGGAGGGGTGCCCCCCAACCCCGGCATCATGGCTGATGCACGCAGGAGGAGAGAGAGAGAGAGAGAGAGAGAGAGAGAGAGAGAGAGAGAGAGAGAGAGAGAGAGAGAGAGAGGCCGGTTTGTTTACTTGCAGCCCAGCCGCCGCCGGCCGCGCCAGCAGCATCCCTGGACCCGCCGCACGCAGCATCTCCCGCACGTTTCTATTCTTAGCACCCCGCTCCCCGGCGGAGCGAACCCCGATACTATGGGGGACACAGCCAGCTCGCCCCCTGCACCCACCACGCACCCCACCCGCGCCCCACCTTCCCCGTCTCCCCCGCGCGCCGCCGGCCCCGGGGGCGGAGGAGGAGGACGAGGAGGAGGAGGGAGGGAGGGGACCCCCGGGACGCCGGTGCATCCTCGGCTGCACCCCACCCCCCTGCCCCCGACCCCAGATACGCGCGTTACATAACCCGCCGCCCACCGCCCCGGGCCCGGCGCCCCCTCCCCGGCCGGCGGGGACCTGGGGCGCGCGGAAGGGGGGCCCCCGCGCCGAGTTGCGCAGAGAACGGGAGGCGCCGCCAGGGCCGGAGCCGGGACCGCTAGGCCGGGGAACCCTGCCCGGGGCCCCCCGGCCCCCCTCCTCCCTCCCCCCGAAAGTGAGGGGTGCCCCGTCCCCGCGCCGCCGGGCATCCCCGGCCTCCGCACCCGCGCGCCAGCCCCCGCCCACGCCCCCGGCGCGGGGACACCCCAGGCGGCGCCCCCGGCACCCCCCCCCCGCCCAAGGGCGCCAGGAGGGAGGGAGGGAGGAAGGGCCTGGCTCGGCCGGGGTCCGAGGAACGGGGTGCGGGTGGGGGGCGGCGGCTCGTTACCTGCAAAGGCGGCGGCGGCGGCCCCGCAGCTGCTCGGGCGGCGGCGGCGGCGGAGGATGGAGCCGGGGGGGCGGGGGGAGGAGAGGGGGCGACTCGGGGGTCCCCCCTCCCTCCTCCTCCCCTCCTGTCCTCCCCCCACCCCGCAGAGCCCGGGCCCCCGGAGCCCGGGGCGGCGGCGGAGGGCGGGCGCGGGGCTGCGGCGGGCGGGCGGCGGCGGGCGGGGAGGAGGGAGCCGCCGGGCCGGGCCGCGGCGCTGGCTGGCGCGGGAGGAGGGAGGGAGGGAGGGAGGCGGCGGGCGGGGGAGGAGGAGGCGGGGACTCGCTGGGAATCGGATGTCGGCGGCCCCGGCGCTCGGCGGGCGGCCGGCGGGGCGGGGAGGGCGCGGCGAGCGGCGGGGCCGGGGCTCCGGCCTCCCCTCAGGGCGCGCCCTCCCCGCCCCCCGGGGTCCTCCTCCCGCGCCCCCTCCTCGCCGGCCGGGCCGCGGGGCGGCTGGGGGACTCGGAGGAGGAGAACCCCTGACGTCAGGACGGCTCCTCGCGGCGGCGGCGGCGGCGGCGGGAGCGGCTTCCCCGCGCCCCCGGCCGGCGCGCCCGCCCGCCCCGCCGGCCTCGCCTCGGGCTTCCCCGAGCCCCCGGCCCGCCGCGCCCCGAGCCCGCTGCTCTCGCGAGAACAGCCCCCGGCAGCCCGGCGGCCCGAGACGCAGCGGGAGCGGGGCCGGGAGCGGGAAGGGCCGGGCTTCCCCGCGCCCCCGTGGCCGTGGCCGTGGCCAAACCGGAAGCCGCGCTGCCCCGAGCGGCTGGGGAAGTCGGGGCAGGGACGCACCTGGCACAGTGCGGTGCCAAAGGGAGGGTATCCCCGGGATCCCGCCTCCCCCCCCCCGGAGGAGGGGACCCCACCCTTTGCACGTCGAGGGTCAGCACCCTGCCTGGATCCGTTCCGCCCTGGTCCAGGGGACCCCCACTGTCCAGCCCGGGAACCCACGCAGCCCCCCGCAGCGCTGCCCGCCAACGGCAGCCCACACCGGGGACACAGGTTCCCCTGGGGTCGCAGTTCCCTTTGCAAATCACAGCTTGCGGGGGCCTGATCGATTTTGGGGGGCCCTGGCGGACCGTGTCCCCTGCGAAGAGGATGCATTTCTTTCTGTTGAAGTTCATGGCTCCTGAGAATGATGGCAAGGGAGACCCTATTCTGCAAGTTGGCCCTGTCTTACCATACATCACACTCCTTACCATTAGTTACAAAAGAAGTTGTTGCTTGGGGTCCAGCTTTTTTCTGACAACATGCTCTATGGATTCGAGAGCTCGACTTTTGCGGGGGGGGGGGGGGGGGGGGGGGAGTGGATGTTATTCCGCCACAGGACTCCAGCCTTGTGGATGGATGTGCACGTGTTGAGTCTCCCAATCAAGATGCTTGTTCATGCCTTTGGCTTCTTTCTGTAGGAGCGTTTCTCCTCCTGACCTGCACTTGCTTCTCTGCTTTTCCGGGTCCTGACAACCTTGTGATGGTACCCATTGTTTTATAACGTGTCCCTAGTATTTACATAGTGAGTTTTTATATTTATATAAATATAAAAGTTATATTTGTGTGTGTGTGTATATATATATATATATATATATATATATATATATATATATATATATATATATTGCAGAGAGGAAGAGAGAGAGAGAGAAGCATCAATGATGAGAGGGAATCACTGATTGGCTGCCTCCTGCACTTAAGACCAAGCCCACAAGCCAGGCATGTGCCCTTCACCAGAATCGAACCTGCGACCCTTTCTATGCTATATCCTTAGTACTTACACAGTGAGTTGTATTTCTACATCCATGTCCACATTTCTTATGAAATGCACATCTATTGGGATGGTGGACAGCAGTATGAAATCTAATAAAGAGACAGTGGTGTGTGTGTGTGTGTGTATTTTTAAAGTCAATTTTCTCCCCTTGTAAGGATAACATTTCCTGACCATTCTAGAACAAACTTTGCTGTTTTGAGATACACCATTTGCCCAAGAGAAAAGTCCTCAATTGCTGCTTTTTTTTTTCCCTTTACCCAAATTTCCCACCACATCATGGACTGGTAAGTAAACTGAAAAGTAAAAGACTATATCCTCATTTATTCAGTTTGTCAGTGTAGAAAATATACATAATTTATTCCCGTCATTATCAAACCTCTGACAGTCCCTATTGGCAAAATAATTCGGTTACAGATTTCTTGCCATAAATGACAAAAAATGGGTCAGATTTTTATTCTACAGTAACCCAACCACTTTTTATTTTTAAAGAAAGTAGTTCCTTATGATACCAGCACTAAAAAAGTGCTCTGGAAAGCTTTTACATAGTTGACTTTGAGGTTGTGCTACTCTGAATGACTAGATATGACTTATTGATTGCAATTTTCATTTGTTTCCAATTTTAACTAATATATTTGTTAAAGCCAAATTTGTCTTATAAGCCATACTGCCTCAAAACACATTGCATAGGCTCATCAGATTGCATTAAATCTTAGTTGGATTAAACCCTAAAATTAAGTTTTGTATAAACTACAGTGGAGTACATACCCCAGACTTCATGTATTATAGAGTGTTTGAAAAACGGTAAACTTTTTTTTTAATATATTTTATTGATTTTTCTTACAGAGAGGAAAGGAGAGAGATAGAGAGCTAGAAACATCGATGAGAGAGAAACATCGACCAACTGCCTCTTGCTCACCCCCTACCAGGGATGTGCCCGCAACCAATGTACACGTCCTTGACTGGAATCGAACCTGGGACCTTTCAGTCCGCAGACCGACACTCTACCACTTAGCCAAACTGGTTTCGGCTGAAAAACGGTAAACTTCTATTTCTGCTCTATTTTTCTCTTATACTGTAGTAATTTCATCAACCTCTATAATAAAGGCGTGTTAGTTTTTATTACAGAATTATTTATTATAGAACTACTTTATTTTTATTTTATTTTTTTATCTTAGAGGAAGGGAGAGAAAGGGAGAGGAACATCAATGTGAGAGAAGAACATTGATCGGTTGCCTCCTGCATGCACCCCAACCAGGGATGGAACCCACAACGAGGTATGTGCCCTGACCGAGAATCGAACCTGAGACCCCTTGATAGGGGATGATGCTCCAGCCAACTGAGGTACACTGAGCAGAGCAGAGCTATGATTTATTTGAACAACATCAGTCTTTCTCTCAGACTGTGCCATCGTTTATTGGCAGAATCCACCAGTTGTGGTGTGATGGTACCTCATGCAGAATGTCTGCTGGCTTTCTTATCTTCATTGTCATCGCACGCTAATAACATGGGGCGGAGCAGCATGTCCATCCATGAGACGGTCCCTCCTAAATTTTGGAGAAAACTCCCTCATTCTTTTTTTCTAATCCTCATCTGAGGTTATTATTCCATTGATTTTTAGAAGAGTGGAAGAGAGAGGGAAAGACAGAGAGAACTATCAATGTGAGAGAAACACATCAATTGGTTGCCTCCTGCACGCACCCCAACCAGGGTCCAGGATGGGAAGGAGTCTGCAACTGAGATACATGCTCTTGACTGGAATTGAATCTGGGACCCTTCAGTCCACAGGCCAATGCTCTATCCACTGAGCCAAACTGGCTAAGACTCATTAAGCCAGATCTTCTTAAGACTAGCATCTCTCAAGAGTAGAAATGTATGCATTGTAAGAAAAGTATTCACCTTTCTCGACTAGAAATGAGTAAATGAGATACTGAGAGCTCATTTCTGTCCCACCATTGGTTGGGGGTAATTTAAACTAGAAGGTACGTTTATAATTTCAGGACAGCAGGTAACAAAAATTAAGTTACTGCTTCTGTCATATTAACAAGGACCTCTTGCATCCACTGTCCAGGACATGGCACATAGCATGCATTCAATACGTGTTTGTTGAATAAATTAATGAACAAATGGACTGATATACCTACCTCTGCTCTCTGAGCAGCTTACATAGTACTTTCCTCTTGGATGGCTTATTGCAGTGGTCGGCAAACTCATTAGTCAACAGACCCAAATATCAACTGGACAACGATTGAAATTTCTTTTGAGAGCCATATTTTTTCAACTTAAACTTTTGTGGAAGAGCCAACACTCAAGGGGCCAAAGAGCCGCATGTGGCTCGAGAGCCACCGTTTGCCAACCACGGGTTTACTGGGAAGGTCATGAACACACTTTGGAGACCCGCAGACCTGAGTTCAAATCCTGTCTCAACAGAATTTGTCTCAGGCAAGTAAGTTGCTTAACTTTTCTAAATCCTAATTTCCTCCTCACATGTGAAATGAAGCAACCACTTCAACCGCTTATTAAGAGAATTAAAGGTGCCAAAACTGGTTTGGCTCAGTGGATAGAGTGTCAGCCTGCAGACTCAAGGGTCCCGGGTTCGATTCCGGTCAAGGGCATGTACTATGGTTGCGGGCACAATCCCCAGTGGTGGGTGTGCAGGAAGCAGCTGATTGATGATTCTCTCTCATCGGTGTTTCTAGCTCTCTATCTCCTTTCCTCTCTGTAAAAAATCAATAAAATCTATTTTTTTTTAAAGAGAGAGAATTAAAGGTGATGAAATACTCTGTCATATCTAACAAATAGTGAGTGGCCAGCCAGCTACAACTTCTCTACCATGAATGCGACTCTATCCATTACCATAGCACTAGCTGCTACACCGAAGATACCAGACCTGACCTGGCCCAAAGCTCTCATCCATGGAAATCTAGGAATGGCCCACGGTCTCTCACAGTTTCTACTATCCTCAAAGGGCCCAAGTTCCTTCCCCAACAAGGCTCTCACACATTCAACACAAGATCACAACATAGAGGGGGCAGAGAACGAAGAGTCACGCAGGGAAGGTTCAATGGCATCACTTCCATCCACCTTCCACCGGCCAGAACCCGCCCGGGTCACCTGACTACAAGGCAGGCCCAGGAAGCCGAGCTTCGCCCAGGAAGGAAAAGGAACCTGTTTGATGTCCAGCCAGCACGTCGCTGGCACCGCTGATTTCTGAAACAACCGTGTCGAGCCTCCA